CGAAGGTAATAACGATATACAAAATTTAAAACAGTATGCTTAAAGCATGTACAGTATAGAATGCTATTATAATGTGTTAAAATAAACATATTTATGTTTTATTTTTGAAATAATATGTATTTGTAGCATGCAAATTGTGTTTTAATTAGATTGCCAAGTTATTCTCATAGATTGCGCCAGATCCACTTAAAGGAGCGGCATAACATTTACTGACCGTACCCCTCATACCCGCACACCCAACAGTGTCCAGTCCTGTATAATATCTTAGTTCATGGGCTACACTATACCGGTATTTACAAAATAAACATTCAGTGAATCTTGAACCATTTACTATCTTAAATTGTTATCAATGGTCATGATTACAATTAATTCTATATATCTATAATATTGTATTAGGTGCCTGTCGGCTGTCCTATGATTAAAGGTTTTAATTTAAAATTAAATATGCGACATTAATAGTTATTAGTTAATTTTATTTCATAATACGACATGGACTCTTTAATTTCTGAGATGGAACAATTGTTATTGTCTGGTAGAGAGGACTGTAATATCCAAGACATAATAGGTAGGTTACTAAATTCCGTTCAAATAATTTCATTAATTATACCAACTATTTTAGCAATATTAAATATTAAATAAGTAGCTCATTGATGTTTAATATCTTTACATCCATTATCTATTTTCCGTTGCATAAATTGGTTTAGCTATATTACCAATGCCAGGCAATGCTAAGTACTATCAATAGTTTCAGTGCACCTATCATAGAGAATAGAGTTTGTAACAGTTTTGCATTTACTTTTTTATTTAGCCTAAATAAATATATTTTGATTTTACATGATTAATAAAAATTATTATTAGCACTCAATACTCATATTAAAACAAAATATTAAATATGGATAGTTTAAAAAAGTTGTTGAATAATGATTTGTAAGACAATATGCATGCACATTAATTGTATAACATTATTTTGACGCACTTATGTCGGAGACTGAAAATATCTGGCTGAAGTCGGTACCTACTGGCTACTACTAATCTATAATATTTATGATCTTGAAAGTTATACTTGTCGGTCACTTCCTATTTTATTAGTTTTCTCATTTTGATAGATATTTTCAGATCTTACTAACATGGTTTGCTTGTACATCATATAGATTATACAGAACGTTTTAAGTAATAGCGTAAAAAAATATAATTTAACCAAATATGTTTAGTTCATACTAGAATTCACTAATAAATCATAGGTTAATCTTGAGTTCTGAATATTACCACATCACTTATGCATCATTTATTTTATTTGTTGAATGATTTCAGGAGAATCTGCAGGAAAAAATATTGATGATTTATTAATTGAAGCTGATAAAATAATTGGTGAAACACTTCCATTCTTCCAAACATCTTCAGATACAAATAAAGTTAAAACTTCAAAAGACTTTAAAAGTATACAAAATAATACTAAAGTTACGCCAATCCAGCCTAAAATCCAAAGGAATGATGCAAAAAAAGTTAATTTTAATTTAAATAGTAATAATAGTCCTCACAGTTCTATAATTCCAGAGAAACATTCAAAAGCATCAGAAATCTATGGTTTGTATTAAGAATTTATTAGGAAGTATGGCTTAAAAATAAATACTAAACTGTGAGAAAATAATATATACTTGCAAAATATTACTAAAAATAATATATTAACCTAACAATCCTTGACTTTATTATTAACTTATTTTTTCAAAAAAATATTTTTATTCTTACTAATTTTTTTGAAAATCATAACTCATAAATTAGAACATTTGTCTGTTTTTATATTATTTAACGCATTGACTGCCATGCGGCCGCCGTCGTCCATAAAAAAAAAAAATTAGGTATTGATAATTTTTAGACCGCCGGCTGCCGTACCATATCATTCGTAGGAGGCCATACGGCCACAGGCTGCCGTAAATTAATTTGGATTTATATTATTAACTTTTCCGTGACACTACAATAGTGATCTAGAAAATGCGCTGTGGCGAAGCGTAAATAATTGCATTTTTTTGATGTATAAAACATAATTTTAACATTTTTTTTTGTATTTTTAATCTTTTTTCAAATTCAATAGTATAGATACAAATTTATAATGACACTGAAAAATGAACTTGGCCTACAAATAATAAATATTTTTAAGGCCGCATGGCAGTCAACGTGTTAAAATCTAGCTCATTTATTTTAATATATTTTAAATGTTGAATTATTAGTTTCTATCAAAACATTAGCTTCTATACGCTGCTACTTACACTGGACACTGGAGCCATTTAATTACTTTAAATTGTTAAAAAAATATTGTTTTACTATGTTTGATTTTCACATCAATTTCTTATTTATAAATACCATTGAACTGCACATGTTGGGTAGTTGAATAGTTTTAAAAAAAAATTGTTGCCACTTCATTATTCATAAACTACCGTCAAATGTAACAAAGTAAATGTATTTCGTAATCATACAAATTTATTATGAGTATTAAAATTCCAGTTGTGGAACAAAAATATAATAAGAACAAACGTTACCAGACAGGCCTTTAACATGTGTCTTATTTAGATCTTAAAATTAATAATATTTGTATAATTATATGGTATGAAATAAATCAAAATTTAACTAATAAATATTAATTATATTCATAGGAAAATTAACTATAAACAAATATATTAAAGAAGAGGAAAGAAAAGATCACAATATTTGTTCTTCATCTTTAAAAAAATGTACAGCTGAGTTAAAGGTAAGCTAAAAATGTTATACATTCTTATTATTTTCTGAACCTATTTCATTAGCTAGTGCTGAGACTGCTGCAAATGCTTCTTTTCCAGTAGATACAATTTCAGATGGTGGTAAGATAAATCCATATTTTCCTGTATCTTTCAATTCTACTGTGTAAGCGTACTTAATTTTTGCAACTCCTTTAGCCCAATCATCAGATGCTCCTAAAAAATTTTAAAAGTGCATTATATTTTTTTATAATTACATGCCATATACATGGTGATTAGAAATCCATGTTACTAAAACTGTAGAAATATATGATTTATATAAAGTCTCCACATTAGTACACACATTTCCTGTATGGTGTATGTAAATTATTTTTTAACACAGTTGGTGATGGGGTTGTTTTTCAATGTTCTTACTATAAGTGCCATACTCTGTATGTAGTAAGTGTTTATGGTTTATATGGTATGTACACAAAAGTAGTAATAATTTTACTTTTATCTTAATGGATAATTTTGGTATTGATCAATTTGTACTAACAATATTGATATATTTCTACAATAATAATGGGTGTCACGGATGCCTCTCTATATTTTGTCTCAGAAGAGAATAATCACTTTTTGCCCATCGTGAATGATTCGATTGGCGTGTCGAGAACTACATGATCACGCTTACACAGTGAAGTTGGTGGGAGACATGCAGCACTGACGTTAATCGGTTGCCGACTGATTATTCTCTTATGTATAGTCTGTAAATTGTGGACAAAATATATATTTTTTTTATGAGTGACATCCACTTGAAGTAACCAGTAAAATCCTCATTTTCTATAGTATGTATCATTGATACCACCCACCATCCAATAAGAATAATGTTCATGCCTATATTGGCACGGGTGTTACCCTTAGACACCAATGTGTTAATAATATTTAATAAATTGTATGTACCAGCTGCAGGATATAAGAGAGTTGCACTATTTCCGACAGTATACTCAATTGATGTAGCCTTTTTAATAGCTGTGGCCATAACCTGGCCTACACGGTGTACTTCTGTATGATCAGATGGTACCCGTTTGGCATAGCCCCATGGATATAAGATATACTGTCCATAACTATGGAATGTCAGAAAACCCTAAAAATATATATATATTTATAATCTATTAGTTATAAGTTATAGTTAAGTTTAAATAATAAGTTATAACTTATTATTTAAAAATCAAAAATATGTTACTTACTTTAAATTTATTTGGATTTTTCATAATATACTTAACCACTGCTTGGGTTTCACGTTCAGAACTAGCTTTTACTCCTCGGTATATTTCTGCACATGAATATTTGCTAGCACCAGTCTCGCCCCAGTGATAATCCCAGTTACGATTCAGATCTGCTCCTACACATGAATTCGCAGAGGGCTTGCTACGGTTTTTTCGCCATAAGCGTTCCTTTTCATGAGAATGTTTGTACCTAAATAAAAATGATATTATTTGTAAAATTGTACGTTAAGTTATATTAGTAATACTGACCCATCAGGATTTAAAATTGGTATTATGTGAAATTCAATATTTTTCATATGAGATTCTAATGCGTCTCTATTATACACTAATTCATTTATTAAATATAACACTGAGGACACTGCAATCCATTCTCGTGCATGTATCCCTCCATCAATCCATATTGATTTTGTATCAGTTGCATTTCGGTCTAATTTAATTCGTATAACTCGTAATGGTACATTCTCGTGTGATTTACCGATAGTTTCAATTTCTACTATATCTGGATATTCTTGAGATAAGTGATCAATATATTTATATATATCATCTACCTTATGATAACGTTCAAATGTCAAGTTATGTCCTAAAAAAAATTAATTAGTAATAAATATAACTAAAAACATTACTATATAATATTGTTTCCATTATTAATTTAACTTATTTTCTTTGTAAAATTGTACTTGTGATCAAATAAAACATAAATTAATATATTAAATTTTATAAATGTATGTAGTTTTTATTTGTACAAGGTAGTTATTATTTATACATAAATTTCAACCTTGTCTTCCGAATAGTTCTAATTCGTCTTCATTTATTGGAGGATTTTCATCATTAATTGCTCTTTGTATGTCATTAATAAAAATATTAAAAGATAATGATCCATTATTCAGTGTGTTTTTTACAATTTCTGAATTTTCTTTTTTTACCATTATATCTACTGATGTAGAATTAGTAAACCATTTTTCAATCACTAAAAAACGTATTTAAATTAATTCAATTACATTTATTAATGAAAAACTAGATTTACTTACATCCTTGATTTTCTAGTTCCTTGATTTTTTTCCTTTGCTTAGAGTTAACTGTTTCAACTCTTAGTACTTGGTCTCCGTTATAAGTTATTTTTTCTTCAACATCTTGATGTTGATCACTATTCTCTGAACATTCTGTAAATGTTAATAGAGCTAAAAGTGTAAACACACAGTAAAGCACTCTGGAACAACCATCCATTTCGAACAACTAATTGAGGATAAACTAAATTGATTCTTGACCACAGGGAACTCTTTAATGTATACAGAAACCGGTACTGTGCTATGATCCCAATCCAAGCCACACCTATTTGTTATTTTATTAATACTACTGGTTATTGACCAAATTTTCTACCTTCTGACATAAACATGAATAGAATATTTTATATCTTTTTGTTGTAAACTGTACATTGCTATTGTATTTTAATGACTAAAATAATATAAAATTGTGTTTCTAATATCTACAATAGATCTTTTCATACTAACAGCTATCAATAACAATTGCATTTGCTATCTTTAGTTTAATCATTAAGCCACCAATATAATGGATTGTATTAATTTAATGGAAAAGAATGGTACATGAAATAATTACTAATTTTTAATGAATGTTAAAAGAACATTATAAAAAATGTGAATATCTTAGGGTGAATATATAATATTTATTATTATACTTTAATTTGTATAGATTGAAAAAATAATATGAAAATAATTTTTGTATTTTATATTTTACTAGTAATTAAATTTATTTTATACTAAAAGTTAATTATTTTAAAGTACGACGTTGATGTAGTCTTTTTTTTACAAAAATACATTTTATGGAAAAAAACGTTATTTTTGTATTGCATTAACAAAAGGTGAAGAATATAATATGTTGACAGTTGAGTGTGTCAATAACCCCTACAACATACAACCAGTTAATAAACCACATTCCAAGAAACCAGATGTCCACTGTACATACTAATATTTGTAATATATTGATTTGGTATATCTGTGTATTCACAGATGTATAATATTATAATATATTCGTACATTATATTATGTAGGTCATTATTAGTCAAGGTGAAGTGTAATTTGTATTATTTTGAGGTGAATGTTAACTACTGTCTACTGAATGTCTGAATCATTCTATTTTAATACCCAATACCTATTATTAGTGTGTTTAAAATTTGAACATGTCTATTTATAAAATACATGTACTCCAATAGTTATAATTTTTGCTTCTAAACTCAGTAATGTGTGTATGATTTTATAGTTATTTATTTTTTTATGTTCACACAATTAATAGTAGAAAAATTCTTCAAATTTGAATTTCATTATATTTACTAGTAGAAAAGTGAATCTGTACTCTGTTCAATGAGAGAACACACAGCGGCCCAAACCAAAATTGGTCCTTCTGTGCATTCCCACCCAATGCCCTGTCATAGGGAAACCTGTATCTATGGTAGGGTGACGCAGAGGGATTAGTAGAACTCATGTGTTCTCTTGCTGAACAGAGTATAGTTGGTACTTTTGGTAGGTCGAAATAAAAATTCCCAGTATTTAACAATAAATTTGTAGTAATTAGTAGATGAACGACCGTAGACATTTGAAATTTTTACCCAATATTTTTTTTTTATGTATTGTATAATTTTAAAAATAATTTGACTTTTTTGAGCATTTATAGACATTTGACATTTTAAATTCAGTGTTTTAGTTTTTTCTAAAATATTGATAAAAAAGCTGGACAATTAAATACAAAGCTCCCTTTTAAGTTGTTATTTTAATTCTTTAAAAATATTCAAGATGCGTGGACATGGTTTATTTAAAAAACATTTTGAAGTTAAAATGAAGGTAACTTAGATACATAAGTGTGTACATGGGGGCAGCTGATACAGGCATGCAGTATATGCTGTCCCTTAATTTTTTTTGGGCGTCCGTAGTTTTACTTTCATATAATTATATTTACACAAATAATATACAATATACATTACAATGTATAAATAAAAATTATTTTTACATCATTTTTAGATAATATGTAAAACCGTTTCTGCAGCTGCCCACATAAAAATTTGGATTTTTATGGAGCATCGCCTCCCCGCAATAATTAGCATAGTAGCCCCTTTCCCACCAAATGATAATTTTCTAGTTACTATAATCATTTATACTTAATTCACAAATTACTTAAATGTAATTTTATAAAATTTCTTTTTATAGTATGTACTTTTATTAAGGTCAACATTTATTTTTTATGTCATAGGTACCTGATCCTGAAGTAAATTTTATAAAATCCCATTTTAAAGTCAGCTCATCTATGTTGGAAAATCACAATCGGCTAAAAATGTTGTGTAACAGACATGATAAATTTGGTAATAATATAAAAAATCAGGACCAAATTAATAAATTAAAAACGGAAGAAGAATTAAAATATTATAAGGTGAATGAAACATCATATAATAATATAATGTTTATATTTTTAACACTTTATCAACATTTTTCAGATGAAAAATAATGAACTTGAAAAAAATCTTATGTTTAAAGAACAAGAAATTCACAATTTGGAAAATCGATATCAGCAATTAAGTCAGTATTGTGAATCTTTTTTAAAAAAAAATGTAAGTACATGAATCAACTGTTTTTTGTACTAGATAATTATTTGAATGCTAAGCTAAAACTAAAAGAAATATTACTTTGTGTGTAGTTTTTTCCTACATGCTTTAAACTTTAAACTCGTTTAGAGTAGTTCAAATTTGAATGTTATTTTTAGGCTTATCACTTTCCCATGAGACACATTGTATATTATGTTATTGAATAACATGTACTTTATATTTTTATATTTGAGATCTATGTTAAGGAAAAACAACCATTGCTATGAATATTAATATTTTTATTTTCTACTTTAGATAGAAGAGACATTGAAGAGTTATGATTGTCAATTAAATGAACTAATTGAACGCAATATGACTAGAGAATCACAGTTGCATACCATAATTGGTAATCTTCTAGACGAAATTGAACAGTCACATAATCAATACAGAATTAAACTATCAGAAAAAAATAATCAAATACGGAATTATCTTGATCAAATAGAAACAATACTTGATAATTTTTACAAATTTAAAAATAAAAATATAAAAATATAACATTTCAGTGATATTGATATGACAATCATTTAAAAAATGAATTTTTTACATTTTGTGTGAATGGATGAGTTGTGAACTTGTGAACACGTTAAAAGATGGAATACGATCAAGTAAGAAATTTTATTTTGTTTCATTGCATTTAATATTTACATGCCTATTAAACCTATATGCGTATTAGTTCAAATATTCGTATATGCCAGTTGGTGTATATGTTAATATATTTGTTCAAATTTTCTTAAATTTTACCGAAGAAATTAGAATTTATGTAGTTTTTGCTTAATAAGTTATGTTTATCATATCATATATATTATAGTACCAATCTAATGTAGTTGACAAAAGGATCCAAAAAATTAATTAAAACACAATTATTATAGTTGTTTTGGAAGAAAAATGTAATCATATTATATTCATTAAATTTTCATAAACATTTTTGATAATTTTATTATAATACTTGTACAAAGTATTCACTAACATATTTTATTAAGTAACAATTTTAATTACTTAACATTTTTATTGTGCATCCCAAAATAGTAAAGTCCAAGAACACCAATTGCTGACTGAACAAAATTTGAAAATGGCCTAAAAAATATATAAGTTTAATTATGACATAATGCATACTAATTACTAATATTAAAGGATATATATACCATGCAGATGTTTCATCTTTGTCTTTAATAGCAACCATATCATTCTGTAAACATATTTTAATTTTTTTAATTATATTTGTTAATTATATTTATGAGAATACTAATGAGTACCTGTCTGGTGTGCCGTGCCCTGTTTCTTTTATCTATATTATCTCTGTTTGTTTGTCCATCATATTGCCTATCTCTTACTCTGCGTCTAAAAATTCTTTCATCGGAACGATTTTCTAAAACCGTTCTGCTGTTCCGTTCTATAACTCTTAGCTGAGTACCTCTTAAGTCTATCTCTCTCTCTCTTACATTCCTAACTTGTTCACGATGGATGTTAGGCAATGATTCCGATCTTGTCAGCCTACCCTTTCTGATATCGTCAATTCTAACCCAAACTCTGCGTTCTTGTTCTTTCCCGTCTACACGAATTGTACGTCTCTCGGATCTTATGTTCAAATTTCTAGTCCTGTACGTGTCTCTAATATAATAGTTGTCAATAGGATTAAATGTGCATTGATCGGTCTCGTTTGAAATCGTCACCAATTCCTTATTTGATGTTTTTCGATAAACATTTCTGTAAATAAATAACATGAATACATGATTAATTCAGGCGTATACAAATATGCCAACAAATAATAATGTTAACATTTTATTAAAATTCGGCATTCTATATTATAGTGATCGACTCACGCGACCACCACGCCAGAACCTTTTTTCTGTCTCTTCGTGTTATTAATATAATACCATTTAACCTAATTGTAGATTAATTGTCTTTTGGTAAGTCGTACTTATTGACCATGGTAAAACTATACTAATTGTTATTTATTACGTAAACGTTGTATTGACCTAGTTTTGACGAAAGTATTATTTTATATATTTTATACAGGAATGTCCCTTTTTAAACTAAGTGACCCTTTATCCAACTGTCTTCAGAAAAATCAAACTGTTCCTTTTTTCTAAAAATACACATTAAAACAATTATATCCCTTTCTGTATTGAGATAATAAAATCATACATTTATCTTTTGTTTTCATTAAAATAATGTATAATTTCGTTACTTATGGCTAGGTATTGCAAATAAACCATAACAAAATTTTATATTTTTATATTTTATTTTTTTTAATTTTTATAAGTTTACAAATGGTATATTTATACTTTTTTAAATATACCTACTTAGGTATGTTATTCAAAATTATTATTTATTAATTTATTTATTTATTGTGTTGAAAAATTGTTGTGGTTTATATTTATTAAAAGATTTATATAAAATGTACATAAAACTTTTCATTTAAAAGAGGATCAATTGTTGGGAGGGCACTTTTACAAACAAAAATATTATTCTTGTGACATTCAAAATACCTAGATAATTTTTTCAAATCCCGTATTTTTAATTTTGAAATCTCCCAATTATATTGTTACTATGTTTGGTTTTTAAAGGTCACTTAATACATAATTACTTTATTTACCTAGTTTTAAATAATAATATTTATTATTGCTACCTAATTTAATTTATAAATATACCAAATGAAACATGTATATTAAAATTATTGTCCGAGTTGATTTTAGTTATTTTGTTGCAATTCAAATGTATGTCAGTGCGTGCGACTGTTAGTTTTTCCGCTTGACCCGTGTGCAATATACCATACATACCTACTTACGTTTATCGGAACATTCAAAACCATCTTGTGTTGTTAGCTTTAATATTAAAGTAATACAAGCCCTATTATTCAACTTAATGTTAGGATAATGTTCCTTTTTGTGTTTGAACGTTAACTTTTTAACGAAATTTTAACTTTTATGCAAATGACAATTGACGAGTGTAAAATTGTATACAATTTGAAAATGCTCATCATCATTTATCTACCACAAAAATATTAAAATATCATACATAAGCCAACGCATAAACACAGTCCATAGATAATATTCTCTACTTTATATTTGATATTTTGATTATAGACCAATTTACTATAATACTAAATGTTAAAGCTAACAAGTAACAACACGAGATTGATTCGGCTGAGCTTGAATTTATTATGCTGCCACTGGGTGAGAGAGAAAACAAATTGTGCGGCCGTTTAGACTCATAAGTTATAACTTATAAGTAATGTATTTTGGTTTATTGACACAAATTAGGTAATATAATCTTCTAAATTATGAAAAATTGTAATACAATGATATCTATAATGACTCTTATTATAAATATATTATAAGATGAACTATTCGGTAGTTACTTTATACATTCTACCCGTTCCATACCAAAACTAACCGGACTACTGGGTCATGCGGCATAAGTAGGTATATGCATTTAAGTATTTGTCATACTAAACGTATTGTCTGGACAGCCGGTTTTTGTATACACATATATTACCTGTAAATACCACCTATAGATACTGATTCACCCATTTCCTTCGCTCATTGATGTATCTTTGAATTAAAATTTAACACATCCATTCCTATTGTGACCTGACCAATGATAAGGTACACTGGAAACCTAATTATACCGGAACATGAATAAAGCGGGTTCATGACCGGTTCTTCTTTTAAAAATTATTCAGAAATCTACAAGATTAAATTTTAGTTATAAGTTATAACTTATAAGTCGTAATATAGAAATGATTAAATACTTGCAAAAGTACGAACGACATTTCTTTTAAAATAAAATATGAATACTTACATCAAAGATATGTATCGTTTATACGTACCTGTAAGAGAGGTTACCTATCTAGTATATAATTTTAAATAAAACTGTTGTTCTTTAATTGTATAATTCTTAATTTAGTGAAATTCCTGTTGTGATTATTATTTTATTTTATTCACATCATACTAATATTAATTTCGTCGTTTTAATTTTTTAGGATGAGCTGATGAATTTGAGTGACTGGTTAAAGGTTATAGTATTTATCATGATCTATCTTATACAATAATAAAACTAATCAAAAGTGACTTACAAATTGTTTTCCGAAATCGTGCACACTTCTGCATTCGTATGTGAAAGAGCCAAGAAGAACACAACGCCAACTACGATTGATAGAATCCTAAAATTATACCAATTGATAGTGTTAACTTAACAATATTTATACCTTATATGTATATTTAAAAAAAATACTCTTATATCTGTACTAAAATATTAACAATTTGATCATGTAGTAACGAGAACATAGTCGTGTACGAAAAATAAAAAAAGAACGTGCAAAGTATACTTTTGCTCCCAGTTCGTGAACTTACGTCTTATTCATCTTGTGTATCGACGACGATGTCTTAAAGTCACAATACACACTCGGGGTCCTCTACGAGTGCTTTTTATACCAGAATGATAAGTATAATTTTTCCGGTTACTTTCACATATATTACGCGTGTTTTCCGACCCAACGGTCTGTATTTTATTTGTAATGTATGACGTTACCTATTTATTTTCAAACCCTTATCCGGACGAAACACAAACCACATACACACGCACACACAGGACCAACTTAACCCTGCACTTTATCATGGTGAATATTTTTCGAATCATTGCGCTCAAGGCATCGAGTGGCTATATGTTAGGTGTAATGTATATTATTACCCTGCTACACTGATTCATATTATAATGTGTGGGAGCATTAAAAACGCTTGAATAGACATTGAATCTGATTAATTTTTCAAACATATTATGCCTCAAAGTTTGATACGGAAAATATTATTTATGATCTTTTAGTACAATGTATTTTATTTTCCGTGCGGAATATTGAGGTCATACGACATATCGCCTATATAGTAATAAGTTAAAACTGGTAGATAAAGGTACATTTTGCAACGTAGATGTACAACTTGTTCATTTTCATTACTTGATATTTATTATTTCCCCCATTTATTTGTAAGTAATTTTATAGTGATTTATATATTATTATTTTTTAATGACACATCATCTTATTTTTATGAGGTTTATATTGAAATATTTTATTATGTATTATGTTAAATGACAATGTGATATAGTGTTATTATTATACTACCTATTTAAAGTTTAATGTATATTATGTTTTGATTACGTTTTTATATTTTATATTTTAAGTTTTAGTTTTAAAATATATTTTTATTTTTTTGACGATGAAAGATTAAAGCTGCAATTAAAAAATATTTATATGTATTACGGCTATACCCAAACAAAAAACCATAATTAATTTATCCATCCGTCTCAAATTCTCAACCGCAATTCCGCAGTGAATGTTAATCCTTAATTTCAAATCTGGCAACAAGCGCATTGTGAGCAATGAGCATTATACATTACTTTGAAAAAAGTTCTCCAAACACGTTTACAACTATTATCAAATAAGTCGTTCCTAACACCAATCAGTCACACCAAAAACCAGAGGCTTGGCCTTTTTATTATTTAATATTAATTACTCCTTAGCTGTAACTATTCAAAATAATTAGTAAATAAAGGATTTTGATGACCTTAGAACTCAACAAAGAAATTTTTTTTGTATTTTTTTTTAACATAATTCATATAAATCTAGCCTAGAATTTCGAATTTTATATTTTTTCTTGAAAGTAACAATCTTGCGTTTTTTAATTTAGCAAGTAAAATCAGGCTCTGATTTACGCATATGCAAGCGGTGCACAAGCACTAGGCCCTCAAATTTTTTGGGTCTTCTTCCCATTTTGAGCTTCTGCACCAAAAAATAAAAATAAAATGATCAATTATGTTGTGGAAGAGAATTTAAAAATATATTTTTTCAGCATCATGACCATTATCTGGCATGAAATCCTTTAAATAATTAACAAAGATGGCATGGGCACATATATGTATCTGGGGACTGGGGGGAACTGGTGGCTCGGTGTGAACATTAGTCCCTCAGAATTATTGTTGTTTGTAAATGAAATTGAATCATATTGAACTTGGCTTGGGGAATGAAAATTATAGGTACATATACTAATTTTATCACTTGTAATTATTAATCATAATAATATTTCACTTGAGAACACAATAAATAATATCATTTTAGATACCAAGTTGGTAATTTTTATCATTCGTAATTAGTTCATTTCGATATTCGATTTCACCTTGGTAAAAATTGAAAATTCACAGTACTTTGCATAAAAATAACCGGGGGGGGGGGGGGGGGAAATAAGGAAATTGGGAATTTTTAATACCTACCAGTTTTCGACAAAGTCGATACTGTTTTTTGGTGTATATTAAAAGCTATTTTAGACATATTATGGCATTTCAATTTTATGTAGTTTTTTAACGTTAAATGTTGATATTATCACTTGGTCAAAAAGTTGGAAAATCGAATACAAGCGATTACTCATTAGTTTAAACAATTAAAAAAATATCAATTTTCATCCTTAAACAACTATTTCTATTGAGTCGATTTTTTATATCTATATTGTAGTAATTCAAAACGAGAACCCGTAGAAATGTAATTGACATTTTCACCAAATACCTACTTATATAATCATTTTTTATACGTACATGCTAACATTTTTAAAATATTTTGTCACTTTTAGAGACACCTAAAAGGCATTTTCAATTTTCAATTATTTCTATAAATGTCTATAAAACTTTTTTCGTTCAACGTTCTTTATAAGAATTTGAATTTCGCAATTAAAAAAAAAATAGGAACACTTTGCAATTTATCTACTACACGAATTTTTTTAATTTTTGAAACAAATGTTCTTTAAAGAGTTAAGAGTTGTGGTTTAAAAAAAAATTGCGAAAATCATTATTATAAAAATTATGTCCTTCCCAAGCTTGAGATTTTAAGTTTTTACACATAGGTACTAATATGCACGTTGACTCCATATTACAAACCTATGTACTTGTCAGTGCTAATAATATGCCAATATGTTCATTTTCTGCACTTTAAGTACCTAAGTGTCTTAAACGTATTAAAACTCGCATGTCCCTCGTCTTTAACTCAAGAAACACTAAATTCATTATAGTTACTGGCAATCAACCAAGATAGGTATTACCAAACAATTAACATTTAATGACGTAGATAATTGCAAAATTTTCAAAACAAATATAGAAATCAATCATCAATGTGTACCTACTTAATGTAATTTGTAATACATTTATACTTTATAACAGATTAGGCATAACTATTAATTAATTAATTTTTCGTTTCAAGTAACCACGAATAATTCTTTTAAATAGTAAACAAAATAACTGAAATTTTTATATACTTAGTTGAATAGATATATAAATTTGTTTAGAATTGAACTTAAAATGTCTATAAAAATTGTGTTTATATTATTACAATTCTTTGGTTACAGTAAGCACTACTTATGAAGAACCTTGTATTTAGTTTATTTTTCAACTGTTATCGAAGAACAATTTTCCCACTCATGACGCTCCAATATTTAATTTCTTATTTAAATTTAATTATGCGTCTGTTGGGATATTAGTGATGAGCACAATAAATAATGTGCATATGCTACTTTGGTAAGAAAATACTTTCAGTGTCAATTCTTATCGTCATTTGTTAATATAAACTATATTATTGTTTAGTAAAGTAAGAATGAGGCAGAATATGAAAAAAATGAATATTATGTATCATATACTTCACAAAAATCTATAATATTTACATAGGTATTGATGATAAACATAAGAAAGTTCACAATAAATTATGAAGAATTAAAAAACTTATTGACAATTTAAGAGTTGAGAAAAAATTGTAACTAAATAAATCTAATGGCAAGAGAAAAAAAAACAACACACGAACATAATGTAAAATTTTAACACAAAACATTGGTATCATTATAGATCTATTAGAAATTAGTATCTAATATCTATTAATAAAAATTAGGTCTTTATATTACATAAAATATTGAGTACACATCACTCATGCATATAAATTAAGTATGAAAATAAACTTAATTTTTGGAACAAATGAAATTGGAAATACCACATAAGTAAGTTAAATATAGTACTTTTTTTTAATCGCTAAGGAACTAGACATAGTTATATAAATATACAAAGACTGTAAATAAAATATTATTCCTTATAGTTATTAAATGAAAATCTACATGCAAATACATTATAATATATACTTGTAGTTTTCATTTGTCTATAGACTACTAGCACAACATTGTCAAATTTTAAATAAAAAATATCAATAAGTTTAACAGAAGACACCAATTAAATACACATATACAAATTTTTTTACCAATTATATCTCAATGGATCCACAAGGAGTAAGGTAAAATTATATTTGATTTCACACATTAAGTTCATTGAAACATTGGATGTACTACCAATAAACAATTAAGTATTTACTATATTCTTAATTGTGAATAAATACAAAATATAATATGAAAATAAAAACAATATAAATTATTTATTTATTTAACTTTTAGCTAACAGCAATTCTAAAGTACTAATAATCATATTACAGCAAATAGTAAGAGTAGATATTTTATTTTAAGTTACTTTTAAAAAGAAAACGGTGTGTTCATTGATAAGAGAAATTAAAATACAATGCATCAAATACGCAATAAAACTCATTGTTTTTTTTTTAATAACATTTGATTATTAATAAGAAATAAAAAGCAATACAATTTTAAAATTTAAACACAATTTTTTTTCATACAAAATAAACGAATAAATATTTCATATTATTATATCAAACAATTAAGGTTTTCAAAATTTGGTAGTATATACAATATTGTAATGTGTATATTTTAGTGATATACATAAAATATATTTTATTGAATACTTCAGAAAGTATACAATAATTAGTATAATATAATTTCAATAGACATTTTGTCTTGGAATGGTTATAAACATATTATATTAAAAAAGAAATACAAGTTATACTAAAATCATTACATTATTTATATAGAAGTGTATATAATTACAAAAAACTGTCCGTCTAATAAGATTCTTATCAATACTATTTGTTTAAAATCTGATTATACTCAAGAACAAAAGTTTAGTCTCTGAATAAAACATAAAATACACTTAAATACAGTTTATAATACACATTAAAATAAAATAAATAATAAACAAATAAATAAACTATGGTTTTGTACGATTTATGTTTTCACTATATAGTATATACATAATATAAATGGACTTAAATTAATATAATGGAACATAATTTCTTTAGTTACTTGGGTACATACTGGATTTATACATTATTTATGAGACATTCATTTGTAGTATATTTATTATTTTTTTTTTTTTTGTATAAATAAGTGTGAAAAGTTGAAAATCAATAATAAATACTAAGAAAACAGTTATAAATATTTTATGGTCACAATGGAAAACAAGAGGTTTTAGCTTGGTAAATTATTTTCTTCAATTAACAGCATAATTTGTTATGAACAGATTCTATATCACCCAATATTATTTTATAAAAATTATAATAAAGGAAAATGATGAGATAATATTAGAAATGTTAATTAAATTACCAAAACATTAGTTCAAGAAGTCATTATCAAACATATACTTATTATCTTTATAAAATAATGGTCCAAAAAAAAATTCACAAAACCTAAAAATTATAACGGCTTTGGTGCAAATGGAGAATTGTGTGGCAATAATAACTGTTAGTTGAAATGGTAAAAGCTTACAAACTATTGATGTATTTTCACATGAGCATCATAGTTATATTTGCGCATAAATATTTTTCCACATATGTCACAGCTATATGATGCTTTTTTAACGTAATTGTGCACCAACATGTGTAGGTCTAGGTTACTTTTACTCAAAAACGACTTGTTACACATTGAACAGGTGAATGGTTTGTCCCCGGTATAAGACACATTCATCTCATGTGTTCTTTTGTGGACAACAAGGTAAGAATTTAATTTAAAAGTTCGCCCACAAACATCACATGAATGCAGAGTCCCGTTTTCATGTCCTGATACATGTTCCTTTAGTTTTGACTTATTTGAAAATTTTTTTGTGCAAATGTGACATGTATATGAAATACGACGCCCAGCATTTTGTTTTTTGTGGGCTGCTATGTGGCTAACAATTTGAGTTCGAAGTTTATACACTTTGCCACAAAGTGAACATTCAAAACGATTATCTGTGCCACAGTGTATGGCTATATGTTTTTCTAGTCGAGTTGCTTGTTCAAATGTTTTATTACATATGGCACAACGATGTACTTTATGTTCGGTGTGCATTCGCATGTGTTGTTTTAATTGTAAAGGTGTTTTTACTTTGTACAGGCAAAGCTGACACACCATCCATTCAGATTCACCATTTGACTGTGGAGTATCTTCATCACAATTAGGAAAACTAGAATCTTTGCACTGGATATTAGGTGTTTCAGGGCAAGAAGAAGAACTAGAACTGGTACATGAACTACTTGATTCGCCATCAGAATCAGATGACGAAGAAGAAGAAGAACCAGAGTTATTTAAATCATCAGCAGGAGGACTTTCAGCAGTCACATCGCCCATCATAACACTGAAAACAATAACAAATAATTATACTTATAATACATATAAAAAAACTGAAAACATTTATTAAATGTTGGATATTATATATACATATGTACCTATGTACCTACATAATATATATTTATTTTTTAAGTAATTTTAGAATTTAAATTAAGGATGAGGATTAGGTAAATAAAGTTTCTGTGGCAATACTCATATTTTTTAAAATATTAAATTTGGATGACTGTATATTACCTATTTATAAATATATATATATAGAAACAAAAATGACAACTATTAAATCTTGAATTGCACTAGTCACTAATAAGTCTTATTTAATCATCTCTACATTACTCTTGTAATGTAATTTTTCATTGGATTTCATGTAAAAATCTACTCCTTGCATTTAATAAAGTCCTAAAGGTAGCACTTCAGAAATCCTAGCTTATAGTTAAATTTCTAACAGTTTATAAAAAAATTCTCAGTAGGTAGAATACTAGTTGTTTTAATTTAGAATGTAAAGTTTATTTAACTTCAAACATTCATTGGTATGCTTAAATGCATTTTCTTGGCAGTTATTAAATTATAAAATTATATTGATGTACAATAAAAAATATACCTATAGGTATATAAATATTACTCTGCAAGTATTATAGGAAATTATTTAAAATAAATATATGGTATTAATTAATTCAATAACTTAGAATACCTACTATTGTTTAAGATGTACAGTGATTAATGCGAGTTTAATGAAAATGTAACAACTTTAAGTTTGTACACATGAATACAATACTTTATACAGACAAATAAAGATATTAAGTACTAGGTATTTCAGAGGAAAGTCCAGTGGAATGATAAGGGAATGATTTCAGTTCTACATCATAATCATGAATTACAATTTAGCAAATATTTACACAACAAATTTATGGATAGGTAGCTTATAACTAGGTAAATACAAGGTTATTATAAGAATCTATAAAATATTTAATATTTGATTAAATTCACTTACTTCACAGCTTAAATGCGTATTGGTAACTGATTTAATATGTGTATAAATTAACTAATCACTTACAACTATGAATTTATATACATTAAATTACGATATTGGGTAAACAAAGCATTAATTGCGATTGGAATAAATTTAATACAATATACAATTTATTATTATTATTATTTGTTATATTAAGTTGAATAAAATAAAAAATATATATAATATTGTTGTTGATATGGGCGAGCCGTCAAAGTTGGGAACGTATTCGTTTCGTTTGTTTATCTCGGCACTAATGTTCGCGTGATAAACGCGGTAATGCACGCGACAGTGCGTGAATTCGTGATCCTTAGAAATTGTTGAATGATTAATTATGGCAAAAAATCAACAAGATTTTGATATCCGTCATAGCTTCGTCAATCGATTTAAATATTTTAAATTTTAAATACATATCTAATACATAATATTACTCTGACTTTTTAACTACTACTTTCATGTAGTACTATATAAAGACGTAACAATGTAACATACACCGAACATGGCAATAATAATATAGTGTTTTAATAATTATTATTTAATTAGTATTGTCAGTGATGGGCACAGTATAATAATATAATATGTATTAGTATTAAATATATGAATTCCAAATACATAGTATTATATCGGGATAATAGCGGAATGATGCTTAGATAATATATTAAAATGTATAATATTATTTAAGGATGTTGGTGTAGTTGTTGTTGTTGGGGTGTATGTACGCTTTGAAGTTCGTTACTACCTTCACACAAGTGTTCGCCGCCCACGACGCCGAGACGTGCCGCAGTCGGCAGGGCACAGATCACTGATCAGTGATCAGCACGACTCGCGACTGTCGGATGAGCCGACCGCGTATCACTATATTATTATCAGAATCCAGAAGAATAGAAACGGAAGACGAGTTCCGACGAAAGTGAGGACCGTTTTCGCTTACGTTTACAAAAATCGACGGCTGTGGTGATAATAATCCACATGACCACATCCCTTTTTCCGCTACTCCGCAATGCCTATCAGTAATTCAATTAGGTATTCCGTATTCGGTTTACAGGTCGTTTTCTGCAAACCTTATATGGACGACCGTGAGCAGATCGCAGCCAGTTTTTTGAGAAAACGATTCCTCGGTGTAATCTCAAAACTCGAAGGCAAGTACTTTTTCTTTTTTATTGTGATCCGTTTAGGTACCTTTCAGTACGTTTACATTAGTTGCTATGATATTATATAATAAGAACAAATAATGAAACCATGTTTCATAGTAGTTATGTAGTATTCATAGTACCTCCAGTTTGACAACTGTAGCTTACAAATTGTAGGGAGTTACCTACAATTTGTTATACCCTAACTTTCCTATCACACAGGTTAGACAAAGTCTCCATCTATTTAAATTTTCTGACTGTAACTGGTGTATATTATACTAATAATAATCATAATATAGTGGTAACTTTATTCTGTAATTATTCTCAATTATTTTTCGTATAACTTCTAAAAATAATCAAGACATATGAACTTGATATTATTGTACTTATTATTAATACTTCTATTGCACCATCGTTTTAATCGTTAAAAAGTAAAAAAAATTTCAAAAACTAAAAACAAGTTTAAATATTTTTTGACTTCAGTATATCATTTTCTGCGAAACCAAAATTTACCAGTTTTTTTGCAATAACTTCAAAACAAAGTCCGAGCAACAAATTCTAGTTGCATCATCATTCTTAACTTGACAAATGAGTTTTGAAAAAAAAATCAAAATGGTGAGGGGTATCAAAGCTGCATTTTTTCCTTATGTTCATATAAAATATTTTGTTATAATAATATATCATTAGCTAATAGCCATTGTAAACTTGTCTTGACTGTATCTTGTACACATTTTAAGTTTTAATATTTACATAATATTAATATGTGACATAATGTTTTAGGTAAACCTTGTACTGCCATTTTATATGATAACTCTAAAGTGAAAGCTACATTTGTTGCAACTACTGGAGCCTACAACCATATTGCTGTTGAAGATTTACATACTCCAATAGGGACTGTTTCAAGTGCTCTGATTAGAACAAAAGATATTCAAAGTCTTGAAATAGATATTGGTAAAAATAATTAATAAATATTTATTCCTATTCTTACTTATAAAAAAAAATGTTTTCAGATCTTGAAGATGTCTGATTTGGAATTGTTTGTCTCGATTGGGCTTTCCGAAGCAAAAGCCAAAGAAACAATTAAAAATAAAAATTTGACTTCCAATTTAAAAAAAGTCATTGATGAATTTCCAAAAACAGATAAACCGTTAACTAATTATGGTACTTTATTGTACCACCTAGCTTCCAAATTAAAAAGTCAAGACTTTAAGTATGTAGGTCTGATTGACTCATATATATTTGAAAACAAATTGGATACGACCCAACGAGTTGATTGTAGTTTGGAGTACTTACGCTCATTAATATCTGAAAAAATAGATTTATTTGAGTTAGATAAAGCATGTGGTGTTGGCATTGTTATAACTATAGATGAAATAAAGCAAGTAGTTGAAAACATTATATCTCAAAACAAGAATGAATTAATTGAGAAAAGATATAAGTTTAACACTGGTGGTCTAATTCAAGAAGTCAGAAAACAACTGGTGTGGGCTGATGGAAAAGCAATAAAAGATGTAGTTGACAGTCAAATTTTGGATATTTTAGGTGCTAAAACTGAAGCTGATTTAGCACCTGTTCAAAAGCAGAAAAAAGTCAAGGAAACAAAACCTATAGAAAAAAAGACTCTTGTGTATGAACCATTGTCCATTGAAGAGTTAATGAGTAAAGTAGACTTTCATAAGCCTGGAGAAAATTTCAAAACTGATGGTTATGTTATTACAACAAATACAAAAAAGTTATTATCACAACATTTAAAAGAAACTAGTGGCAAAGTCATTACTAGATTTCCTCCAGAACCCAATGGAATTTTACACATTGGTCATGCCAAGGCCATCAATATAAATTTTGGATTTGCTAAAGCTTCTAATGGAGAATGTATTCTCAGGTTAAGACTAAAATTATATTACTAATAAAGTTAGGATTGTTTTACTAATTTGTATGTGTTTTTAGGTATGATGATACAAATCCAGAAAAAGAAGAAGAAAAATATTTTACAGGTATCAAAGAAATGGTAGAATGGTTAGGCTATAAACCTCACAGAATCACCCATTCTTCAGACTATTTTGATCAACTCTACAATTGGGCTATTGTTTTAACAAAAAAAGGATTGGCTTATGTTTGTCATCAAAAACAACAGGACATGCAAGGGTTTAATCCACCACCGTCTCCATGGCGTAATCGTCCAGTAGAGGAAAATCTGTCTCTACTTAATGATATGAAAAATGGAATTTTTGATGAAGGAGAAGCTACATTGAGAATGAAAGTCACACTTGAAGAAGGCAAACAAGATCCAGTTGCTTATCGTATAAAATTTTTGCCACACCATCGTACTAAAGACAAATGGTGTATATATCCTACATATGATTATACCCATTGCCTTTGTGATTCTATTGAAAATATTACACATTCTCTTTGCACTAAAGAATTTCAAAATCGAAGATCTACTTATTATTGGCTGTGCAACTCCCTCGATATTTATTGCCCTGTCCAATGGGAATATGGTAGACTTAATATGAACTATACAGTTGTATCAAAAAGAAAGATTGGTAAATTAATTGAAAATAAAATTGTTAACGATTGGGACGACCCTAGGTTGTTTACTTTATCTGCATTGCGGCGTAGAGGCTTTCCTGCAAAATCTATAAACTCATTTTGTGCTCGTATGGGTGTAACTGGAGCTCAAGCTATTGTTGATCCACAAATGCTTGAATCTGAAGTCCAAGATTACTTAAATCTCACAGCTTCTAGAACTATGGTTGCCCTAGAACCTTTGAAAATAATAATTACCAACTTTGACAAATTAGATAAGCCACATTCATTAAGTGTTCCTGATTTCCCTAGTGATCCAGACAAAGGTTGGCACGATGTCAAGTTCTCATCAGTGTTGTACATTGAATCCAGTGATTTTAGTCAAAATGCGGATAAAGATTATCGTCGCCTAACTATTGACCAAACGGTTGGTTTAAGATATGCAGGAATTGTGATCAAAGTTATAAAGGTGATAACTGCTGGGGCATCAATAGGAGAAATTCATGTTGAAGCAACAGATGTTAAAACTGCACCAAAACCAAAAGCATTTATACATTGGGTTTCAAATCCTATCGAGATAGAAGTCAGATTGTATGATCGATTATTTATGCATAAAAATCCAGAAGACATTAATCAAGTGCCAAACGGTTATCTTAGTGATATTAATTCAGAATCATTGAAAGTAGTCAACGCTTATGTTGATGAACACATATTAAAATCTCCGGTGTTAAAGAATTATCAGTTTGAAAGATTAGGGTATTTTTGTGTGGACATGGATTCTAATGATACTAAATTAGTGTTTAATAGAACAATTACATTAAAAGATGGTTCATCAAAATAAAGATTTTATTGTAAGAAATACAGAAATACATATATTTTATAATTTATATTACATAATTTATGTTGTTTAAATATTCAATAAAATTGCAAAATTAAATATTAATTAGCCTTCACAATCAACTCTTTAAAAAAAAAATTATTATTTACAGGATCTTTTGACAGTGAATGTCAAAATTGTGATAAACTTACTTGGTAGTGTGGATCCAAAAAAGAATTTCTATATTTAATTCAAAGGAATTGAAATTTAAGTTTAAATATTTTATAACATTCCCTCTTCAGAGTCCACATGTGAATTGATATCACTTCATTGTTTCATAATTTCCAATAGTATAATACTATAATCGAAAAATAAAATTATGTGACCCTAGAAGAATTTTTTGGGAGTACATAAAAAGGTTGACATTTGGTATATCCAAACAAATACTTTTCCAAATCAATTCAGTTCACATAAATTCAAAATTTGTGTTTTAATTATTATTATTCAACAAAATATAGCCTTCCGATTTGTCCATAGGACTGCGTGAGTCATGGTAAGGACGCCCGGAAGTGGGGGCCATTGCCCCCACTGAGATTTTTTGTGTCAGTTACAAAATTAGAAGTTTTTTTACATAAAGCTAGTTTTAGGTATTTAGAGACTATGCGACAAATGACAATCCTTGTATCTAACAAGTCATATAAAAGCAGCCTGTCTACTATTACTAAGTATGAGTAGATGAAAGTGTAGAGGTAAATCTTCCCATAAGTATTTAGGTACTTGCAATTTTTGCCCCCCCCCCCCGAGCGGCTGAGCTACATTGCTGCGGGCGTCCCTGAGTCATGGGTAGGTAGGCCCCCATCAATATTATACTCAAAAGCTCCAATCCCATAAAAATGATAATAATATGAAATTAATTTTCATAGTACCGGCTGGCGACTGTACAGTATTAACTATTTTTGCGTATTTTTAATAATAATTGTACACTCCATTATTGACCTTTGTATAACACGCGTTGATACCCGTATACAAATATTTTATTTAACCTATTACTAGCACTGTTCTTCTAAAACTAAATAATATATAAAATGTAAATACAAATAAATATTAAATATATACAATATTCGTATGATAAAAAAAATAACCATAATAATAATTTATATGTTTCTAGAATATTAAAATATTAAATATTAATATATATAATTAAAATAGGATAATAATATAATGGGAAAATATAAAAAAATTAAGTTTATTATTATGAAACTTGTATAGGTAATTTTTATAGAGTAACCTTGTTATTTTCTACGTTATTAAAACTAATTATGAAAGTAGAATGTATGACAAAACAGGCTATAAACCTATAGAATATTCAAGTAAAATAAAAAACATTTTATAATAATCAACAATATTCTTAAAAATCCTTACAAGAAAAACTTACTTTTTTTTTGTAATTTATAAGAATAAGTTATAAGTAATTGTTTAACTTATATGCATACATCAATTCATATTATATCTATAATATAGGTATATACTC